CGTTATTAAATCGTGACAATTGCGTTATTAAGTGGTTATATTCAATTTTTGTGTTTTTTTTTGTATTGAACGTGTGATTTCTAGATCTCGTTAGTCCTCGGAATTTCTCCTTTAAACGCAAATCATTAAAGCGATTAGTGCACTTTGGCTAATGGGTGATTCTAAATTAGAAAATCTTTTACCATAATGTTTGCAAAGACAATTTTTCTATCACGTCTAGCATGCTGATACGAGATAATTCTTCACTTTTACACTTGCCATTTTGGAACTTGCGTGATTGCAAACAGAATGAATCCTGTGAGTTACACAGGATCGTTTACGGTACACGGGGAGAGAATTTTCTCTTAAAATTTACCCCGAAAATCGTGTAATCGTGGGACAACACGGCATTTTGGACAACTTTATGAGAGTTTTCTGAAAATTTTCTATACACTTTACCGAGAAAATGTATTCAAAGTATAATTAGTAGTAAAATGTAGGATAAAATTTGAAAAAAAACTCAAGTAAAATTCCTCGAAATTTCGGGATAAATTTTAAAAGAAAATTGCTCTCCGTGTACATTTGTGAAAATTGATTTGTTAGATATCTGGCAACGAAAAGAAATAGTGATGAGTCAGAGACCCGCCTGAACTCCTAAACATCGGCAGACTTTCGCGAGAGGGTACCCTTATGCCAGCAGATGAGGCGTAGCAGAAAGTTCGGCAACGCCGAAAGTATCACGGCGAGGATGTACATAAGGAACTCATATACAGCCACTGGAGTTTCGGCGAGAGAGGCTGCCGCGGCGGGGGAGCGAAGGGATAAATCCAAACAGTAAACAGAGCGGAGCTTTTGCGAGGAAACGTTGGTGAAAATTCTAATATATAAAAGATATGAGAGGCCGCGCGAGGGGGTTGAATTCGAAGGAGCCGCCGGGATTCAAATAAGTGGGGTTACGCGCGGTACCAGTGAGGGCGAGAGGGAATGAGGGCGCGGGAGCGGGTGGGCGGGGGCCGAAGGAATCTGAACAGCCAACAACAAGCGCAGCCTCCGACCTTTATTTAACCTTTTCTTAAAAGAGCCTTAGGAGTCCCTCTTATCTGCAGTCGATGGCCCTTCAGCGTCGGCTCTTATACTTTCATTCTTTCGTACTCTTATATCTTTTTCCCCTGCCCCTCTCCCCTTCCCCTCGTGTACACACGTCGAACTTCATCGTCTTTTCCCCCTTGCCCTCTCTGCTCCGCCCTGCCCCCTTTCCTGAAAACTCTTACGTTTTCGCGACGAGTAACGAGAATCGTTATCCCTTCCGCGTTGTCGCGGTTTCGGTTAAAGATCCTTCGTTTCTTCATTAAGCGAGACGCGGGGCTCGGAATTAATTAAGGAATTAAAGGTCGGCGTCTCGCGAGGAACCGGTACAAGCCCAAGTGGATTAAACAGTTTCCGCCGATCGTCGGCGTTTCATTAATTTCATGAGCAAACGCCCGCAATCGTGGTTTCTTACTCTTCAGTAATAGAAGCTGCAGACCATTTTTGCCTATGCAATAGCTTTGTGTCTCGCAAAAGTAGAGGATTTCGCCCCGATAAATTCATAGTGGAATCAACTGATGATGTCTATTAATTTAACAGAAACCCCGCTATCCGAAATTAGGATTCTATCGCAATACTGGACTTTCCTCTACTTATGTCTCGCATACTTTTCGACAGTATTTAAATAGACGAGGAGACTCTGAATGTTTATTTGCTCGATACATATTTTAATGTTGTTCGCAATTGGAAAAAACGCCATTATTTTTTACAAGTTGAATGACGACATCATACATATTTACTCATGTTGTTCACAAGCTAATATTGGATCATTTAAATTCTTAAACCTCGGCATATGCTAACCTCTGCATTTAGTAATGATAATCAAATGAGTTTATTCTACATAATACCTATAGCTGCAGTCGTATGAATAATAAATCGAGCTGTTCGATTACGTAAAATGGAAACGTTGACTGCGGGATTCGCAAGCTGCGGTAACGGAAAGAACAAATTCGGAAGTCCTCCGGCTCGTGCACGCGCGCCAAATTCCGCGAGTGCCTTCACCACTGTTTTCCCTCACCGCCTCCAATTCTACCATTTTCTATTCCCTTTCCTTTCTTTCCTCTGCCTCGCAGACTTCTGCCTGAAACGCCACGCGCTGGCGCTCCTGACTAAACACTGATAACGCGCGCCGCGGAATTTCTTTGCATGTTATAAACATACGTAATCGTACACAAATAAGATTAGCATAGGACTCGGCATGCCTGGATTTGCAAGAGACACACGGCCTTTCGTTCGAGAGACAATCGTTTCGTAGCGCCGTGTGTGAAGGCAAACGTATTTTAAATTTATCCTCGCCGACGTCTTCGGCGGCTGACGGATTGTTTAATTCGGGTGGGTTAGGTTCGGGTTAGATTGCGTAAGCGTTAATCATTGTTAAACGTTGGCGATAGAATAGCGCTAAATAACGTCAGACGTCACACACGGAGAGAATTTTCACTTCAAATTTATCCTGAGAATGTAATCGTCGGACAATATGGCATTTTGAACAACTTTATGAGAGTTTTGTTGAAATTTTACCATACACTTTACAAAATTTTCATAAAATTCTTCCAAATTTTACTAACAAAAACTCTCATAAAATTCTAAGCGCTAAATAACGTCAGATGTCACACACGGGGAGAATTTTATCTCAAAATTTATCCTGAAAATGTAATCGTCAGACAATATGGCGTTTTGGACAACTTTATGAGTTTTTTTTTAAATTCTACCATATACCTATTTTACAGATTTTTCACAAAATCCTTCGAAAAAACTCTTATAAAAACTAGTAAAAATTCTCATAAAGTTCTTCGAAATTTTACTAGTAAAATGCTGAGGTCATTGTGGTGTACAGATTTGCAGCATTACTGGGCGTTGTTTTGAGCATTAGTTTGCGCATTAGGTCTTGCTGGGGCTTTATAAAGATAAAATAAGATGAAGTAAGAGAAAGTAAGAGAATAAGATAAAGTAATGCCCACTGGGCATTGGTAGGCACTGGTGTATGTACATATTTTTGGTCTGCGGTTGACCCTGCGGTAAAATGTATGCTAAGTATAATTACTAGTCAAATGTGTGGTAAAATTTCACAAAATTCTCATAAATTTCTTCGAAATGCCACCTCGCCCCATTACATGATTTGCAGGATAAATTGTAAGAGAAAATCCTCTTCGCGCACCCGATGTTGTACCTAGACAAAATAGGCGCGACAAAGCAGCAGTTTTACATAAATTCGTTTATGTGGCTCAATTATCCTACGTCATTCTTTTGCATTCATCAGTTGCGATTGAAACTATTTAGTATATTTTAACGTGAGATTTTCATGATAAAGTATACAGCTGTAAATAACATTGCATTACAAATGCATTTATGCCACGTATGTTGATTGCACGATTGTTTTCGTCAACTAGAATGGCAATTTACAGAGTCATCGATTCCGCATCATTTGACATTTTAATGATAGGAAGCTCGAATGGAATGGAAGTTTCGCTGTATAAAGACGCAAAAAAAAAAGAACGACAGAATATAGTCGCGGAATAAACACATCGCGGAAAGACGCACGCGAACGTCTTCGACAAGCTGTTTTGCTGTTCTGTTGCCCGATGGATCTTTGCGTTGATAAATATTTGCACGAGCGATGCGTCCCGAGACACGTGTGTTTGTGGTAATTACTTCGTTGCGTGATGATTGTTTGTTATGCAATTCGGTCCCGACGAAGGCACGAAGTGCAAGGCCAGCGGACACTCGAATTGGAAATATTTCCAGCCGAACGTGTCTTGTCCATCATCTTGCTTGTTATTGTACGTGATATAATATATGTTTCAGACAAGTGTTTACAAGAACGCGCAGTTGATTTAGAGCGATATATAATGCAAGTGGCTTACTCATCTGCTTTGCGACTCTATCACATATTTTCACATCTACCATATACCAATAAAATATTTACATTAATAAAGTTATCAGTGGATAGTATCTTATGTTGATATTTCGTGAAAAGTAACACGAATTACTTGACAAATCGCAATTACGTGCGTAACAGCAATGGAAATCTACACCCTGGAAATTTACTCCGTAAGAAATGTTGCATTTGTATCGTAAAAATGAAGTCTTCGAACTTTCAGAAAATCACTTTGCTTGCTAAAATATAATATATTAAATTCTGATTTGATTTAATGGCATACGTTTATGGAAGATATTAAATTTTATAAGCAGTGCTGTCTAAAGGCGTACGCGGAGTCGTTATCCTTACGTTAAAAAATTCATTTCGCCAAGTTTCCGGACAAAGATTAGCTATTTCTACGGTGAGATATATCTCGTGGCAATAAAGAGCAATAATTTACTCCAAGAGCATTGTCTAATGCCGCTCCATTATATCGTACAATAACACGATAATAATGAACTTATCGAGACATCTGGAACGCGCTCGAAAGTTTCGACCCTCGCGAGAAGCGGGCAGAAGAGGAGCTCTGGTTCCGCCTTTACACTCGACAATCTGCTTGATGATGGAACTTAATAAAACAAATCCCGCTGTGTAAACAGCCGCGGAGACTCGAACCGACGTCATTCAGACAACAGCGAGTTTTCCTTCGAGCCAGCCAATGATGACGGAGCAGCCGAGGCTGGTCCCGCGCTCGAATACCATTAGATAAGATCAATATTGTTCAAAATACGGTAGAAGTTTAACGCATGTACGTTACGTGGCATTTATATCACGAATATTTCGCCCGAAGCTGCTCTTTCGCTCCCTCACGGTCCCCCGTCGCGCTATCTTTCTCATTTAGCTCCCGCTTCTTATCTCTTTGTCGCTGCGTAAATACCAGCCGGTCCTGATCTAAATGCTTAGGATAGCAATTAAGGTTTTTGGCAATGTTTCACGACGGTGCGCCATTGCGATCTCTTGACGAGGCAGCTCGCAACAGCCTTTGACCTCGCTCTCGATCTCCATTTTCATATTGCAGGCTACTTCGCTGTTCGCAGCCCTGAAGCAGCAGCAACAGCAATCGCGCGACAGCGTCTTCTCGTCGCGGGACCGCGAGTGCCGCGACAGGGATCGCCTGTCCACGGCCCGCAATCGCGAGTCCGGCAGAGGTAATATAGCGGAGTCCGGCGGTGGCGTTGCTGATCAGCAACAGCAGCAGCAGCAGCAGCAGCAGGATCTCAGCATCGAGTACCAGAGCAATGGGAAGCTCAGTCCCGCCGGACACGTAGTGACACCAGCACCCATGACCCAGCAAAAGCAACCAATCATCACGCAGCAATCGCAACAGCCCAGCTCAGGGGCACCAGGGCCCCAACCTAGCCCGCATCAGAGCCCGCAAGCCCCACAGAGGGGTTCACCGCCGAATCCTTCCCAGGGCCCGCCACCCGGTGGCCCGCCAGGGGCTCCGCCGTCGCAGACCGCCTCGCAGATGATGCTCAGCTCGGCTCAGAGCGGCCTCCATCAGATGCAACAACTGCTGCAGCAACACATACTCAGCCCCACGCAGCTGCAATCCTTTATGCAGCAGCACACGTTGTACATGCAGCAGCAGCAACAGCAACACCATCAGGTGAATTCCACTCGTCTGTCCTTTTAGCGTTTTGCCGGCACTTTTGCTTCACGAGTACGTTATAAGAATGTCTAATGCATATTCGTGCTATTTTATTTTTGTTTATTATTTACATAAATGCATAGGAAACTGTATCTTTTACAAATACCCTTTTGTGTCATTTATAAGTAAATTCTTTAAATTCTATTGTACCGGAATAAATTTTATATTTTATACTTTTATATTTTTACGTTTTAAATTCTCGGCCGCTGACCCTTCGATGTGTTTTTACTTGACACGAGCGTTTGACTTATTTGTTTTTATTTATATTTTTAGAATGTATTTATTACACGTCTTAAATGTAGAGATAATAAATCAACGTATTCTTTAAAACTTTAAGACGTTGTAATCAACATCATGATTAATCCATTTTTAATAAAATTTTAGCATTATTTACTTTTGTTCTCATGTACACAATTTTGCCGTGTATAAAGTTGTTTTACTTCAATTTTTACATCTGGTATTCCTTAGTTTTTTTATTGCTTTATTCACAACATGGTGTTGCAGGATTCATCTTCCGATCATGCATCTAATCAGGAGCGGTTCGGTTATTTCTCGTCTTTGAAGAATGTAAGTGAAATTTCTGATTGTTTTATTTTACATTGTACGAGGTTGTTAGTAAAAACGGTCTCGCACTATGCTGAAAGGAACAATTTAGCCATCAAAGCGACGAATATAAATTAATTATTGCTAAAACGTTCTTCTCATTTTACTCGATCGTTCTATCGATTACTCATTATTATAGTGTCACTAATGTATAATATAATTTCATTAATATCGTCTAATAATAACGTTAACCGGTTGAGAAATTGGCAGAGGTCACGAGTTAAAGGCTTTCCTGCAAAACGGCTATTTTTCTTTCAACGAAAATAACTATTTCTCTCAGAGTTATTTACTCAATGGATAAATTTATCGGCACAGAAGTCTTTCTAACTTTTATACGAATTCGTTACGTTTTCGCTTCGCACAGAACTCGAACGAAATGCGCTGTGTGGTGCAAATATAACGTTGTAATTTAATGACGCGGTATCTTAAATTTAACTCTTAATTGAACAAACGAAACGGAAACGTAAGACATTCTCGTGAGGAAGCTAATCTTGAAAGAGGTTTTGAATTTCGGTGTACGCGCAATTCGCGGCCGACGGGACTGCCGGGAAGTTCGATGCTGTAGCGAGAGGGTTGATACTCGGTCTGTGTAAACAGGTAGTCCCTTCTATATCGTTACGATAACAATACACGTCGCGCGAACCACTTTTGCTATCCAGCCGCAGTGTTATCCCGGCGCCTACGATCCAATAAGCACTCTGATATTCCTTTTCAAAAATACCGACGCAAGCGACAACAAATATTTTTCATCGCACCGTGTAGTTTATTGTAGCAGAAACTATTCTTTCGAGAGTACGCCGGGCTGAAGACGCTTTGTTCAACCATTTCCAGGATCATGTGTCAATGTAACAATACCTTTAACGCTTTCGTAAAATTTCAAGTCGAATTATAGGTCAGTCCCGTTGTTAATGTGGATTGTAGAAATTTCTTGGACGTCATCAAAATTTATAATTGCGGCAAAAATTGTATACATGAAGTGCAAGGTAAATACGAAATATAAAGAAAATCGTGTGCTTAACATGAACATGGAAAATGCTTATTAGCGGGAACGTGTTTGCACCCATTAATCGTGCAGAGTGTTCGTTTATAATAATATGATAAAGGGTGCGTACCTCGAAGTTTGTTTTAAAATATCCTCGAGGCGCGCGAGAGAGACCGAGAAATGAAATAGGCGGAGGGAGTTAGCCTGGAGGGTGAGGTAAGCAATTAAGCATCGCCATCAGCCGTTGTGTCTCGTTGTTTGTCTTCGAGCTACCCATCAACTGCCCTCTATCTTCTTGCCCCCTTGGTGCCGCGAATTATCTGCGCCCGTGATTTATTCATCATTCCAAGACGCAAGCGCCGCCCTTTTTTCCTCTTCTTTTTATTCCGACCGACTAATTTGGCAGGAGCGAAACGTTCACTTCCCTGACGTTTAATAATAAACTGTCGACGCGGTATCGTTCGATTTATAATTAATTATCTATATCTTTTAATTAGATTAGCTGTAGAAGATGCGCAGGAGGTGCTACGATTATAGTATCACGTTGACAAAATGAAAATATTAAACTTGAATCCTCTTTCTTCTTTCTTTTTCTTTCTTTCTCTCAATAGATTGCATCAAATCGTTCGCCTTTAGTCATATATTATGGCGATATAATCGTCAATGCATAGCTGGTGTAAAGTGATATAAAATATTCTTACGTTTGAACACCGGCGGCCAAATTTGTTTCAGCATCAGCATCAACTCGCGGAACTCAACAAAAAGCAACTGGAGCAAGCAATGCAGCAACTGCAGGAACAATTGCAGCTGAACTTATTTCAGCAGACGCATTTATTGCAAACGGCGGACAAGAAGAAGGCGTCGGCGACTCTTCAGCAACTAGCGATTCAGCAGCAGCAACTGATACAGCAACTGCAGATCACACAAAGGCAATATCTGTTGCATCAAGGACTGAGTCTTCAAGGTCATAACCCCTCTTCAGGTATTTATATATCCAAGTTAATGAGCTCGATTAAGAATATTTTGGCATGCTTTAACAATCAAATAATCTTTGGGTATAGGAGATTTCCCTCCACATTTTGATACTGATCAAGTATTGTGAGCATGAAACATATTCATGATTGTAGTAAAATATGTTGAAAAGACTTCTGGACGAAATATTATAAGAATACGATACATATTCTCTCCATTCTTTATGCAACGAATTCTTCAAAAAAGATGACCTTTCCTACATCTCTATTTAAAAATGCTTGTAGCTTACAACTTTGTAATGAACAATTTTTTCCAAAATAATCGTTCGTTGTTTTAATGTCTTGCACGCATTCTACGTCAGTGCATATCCCTATCAGCAGGAAACTGACTCTTTCACCAATGCACGTTCACGTTGATAAAAGGATTATGCAAATAAAATTCGCGTGTTATTGTTACGCCTTTACATTCTAACACGGCTGCGTCGCATAAACGTAGGAATTTGTATCATGTTGCGACAAAACATATGCGTGTACTTGTAACGACGCGTGACACACTCGTGTCGTGGAAGTCACGTGTCATAGAGCAGCAGGCGTATAGAGACGAAGATAAACTATGATATTGGAGGCCTCTCTTTAATTTTACACTTTCATATTATTTTTAAATTCAGCATCTCCTGTACAATCTTCTACGCGTTATAAAGAGACGTAAAGGTGTGGGGACTTGTTCATTTTCTTCATTATTTTAATTTTCCTCTTCTCCTTCTTCTTCTTCTTCTTCTTCTTCTTCACTGTTGTGTCTCCGTTTTTACTCTGGACAAAACTTTTCACGCAAAAGCGTTTCGATTACAGACCGGAGCTTGGCTACAATGATTTTCTCCTTTCTGCCACGTGTATGTATGGTACACATGACACATATGTTTGAAAGGGCCATCCGAAATAGTCGTGACTCACCGTGGTTTCTTCGAATTCATACATGGAAAGTTCATATGTGAAACGAATCGTCATCCTTGACACTGCATTCGACATTTCCGCGCGCTTTATCTTCTCTGTATTTTTTTCATCTCTCGAAAGTTTAACTGTCTTCTCTTTTTGCGCTCCTTTCTCGCACTTCCATCTTCCTCTTATGCCTCCACCTCGATACGCCTTGCTTCATCTTTGTCTGCTTCATACCTGATTGCTTCGAGATGCACAATATTAGGCGTTTTCCACGTCTTTGTTTAACTTCGACGAACGACAAGTACGAAGCGATTCACAGTGTTGCACTGTATCAACTGTGTCTCTTGCTGGAAGACACCTAATGTTTACTACCCGTACAACACCGAACTTGCAGTTACATTGCAGCATCGTTGCAACATTGTAGAAAATTATCAAAATGTATACTGAAAAAAATGTTCGCTGCCGTAGCTAATTGTGATTTGCTAAAAATATTTTGCTGTATTAACTATAAATTCCTAAACCACAGCAAATGGTTTGCTACATTCTTTTTCCGTGTAGCTGTAAACGTCTTTGCCATATTGGCATATAAGATATTTGAAGATTTTTATAAGATATTAAAATATTTATGACGCAGTTCTTCTCTTAAATGGATACAACCAGTCTATGCGATGCGATATTTTTCTTCTAAGCATATCTTTTTCTTGCACACTATTTTAATTACAAAATTCGACGGTAGACGTAATTTCATGCAAACTATGACAAATAGATTGTCATCCTTTTACTTAATTATTTATAAATGGGTGCCTTTTTTTAAAACTTGAAACAGGCTTGCCACCGGGTGACAATCTCCCATCATGGAAGTCAGAGCCCTCGGATACGCCGGAATCTCACCAGAATTCCAATGTGTCGAAATCCAATTCCGGATTGAACGGTAAAACAATAGTTCACGCACTTCTAATGATCTCGAGCTGGCTCGTTTTTTTGTAGTCTAATTTCTCTATGCTTATGTTTTACTTTTGCGAATGCGACGTTCGTTTACCGAACTATCGCAGGCATTCTGAATTCGATAGCTTCGAGCCGACGATCCGAGGTGAATGGCACAGCACCGATGGACGAGAAGCCGCTGGATGTCTCCTGCAACGACAAGGTTCATCCCCTTTATGGCCATGGGGTTTGCAAGTGGCCAGGCTGTGAAGTAATTTGTGAAGACTATCAAGCATTCCTTAAGTAAGTTTTCTGGTTCATTTTTCTCGTATATTTTGTTAATTGTATCTTCGAAAAATTATCTGCGCCGTTATCCGATTACTTTTATTGCAGGTTTGATAAAAACCGCCATAAAGTAATAAATTTTCACGAGTTTAATTTTATTGTAGCAAAATGAAGAAATTTGTCGTAATTTATTCAAATTGATAACAACCAAAAAATACGTCTATACTTTGCACTAACTTGCAACCAAGTTAGACTCTATTGTCAGTAATGCAATATATTTCGGAGAGGCAAACTATTCCCAAGTAAATAGGTAAACGCGGAAAAGAAGCCTCGTATACGGGAGGCTGAAGAAATAGGAAGATAAAGTCGGTAATTAAATTAGGGAGAATGAGGCAAAGAAAGTGTAGAAAAATCGCTCGTGTCAGCGTATCTCATTGACATCAGGCGCTTTCGCTCATCGGCCTCGAGCCGCAACCGCAAGCTCCATCCCAACCGGAGGATCCTCCTTCGTAATCACGTAGCTCGTCTCGGTGCAAACTCTCCCTCAAACAAGCCGTTACTTAAAAAAAAAAAAAGAAAAACGCTAATTACCTTTGTCTCATTAATATTCACGACATTCGACCGCATCGTTATGCCCCTCAGTCTAATCCCTTTCTGTCCCTCTCCCCCTTCGGCTCGTCCGTTCAGGCTCCCTCGACCTTCCCGCATCTTCGTTCTTTCAACCGACCGACCCGCTCCTCGCCACCCTTCTCCACTCTCGTCGATACAGCCGTCCGTTCCGTCGACGAAGAAGGATTACGGAAATTCTTAAATACGGAATCTTGTTGGCGTTGTTGGCACCCCACCCCTGCCCCATCTTCTACCTAGGACGCGGCAAAGCTTAATTTTCTGTCTTGCCGTCTCCTGGGGGTTTGAGTCCCCGTGGTTGGAGAGCGGAAGCGTTACGTGCCCGGGATTTTTCGTGGCTTTCCGACGCGCAGATTTTTTCCAAGTTCTCGCAAGATAATCGTGTGGCTATCACTCTCACTTTTATGTAATTTATTTGTTTATTAAATATAGCGAGTTTATCACAATTGATCAGTTTTTAATAAATTGTTTCAAAGCCGAATACGGTTAAAGATTATGGCTTTTAAATTAATGGTACAAATTTACACTAGATGCCACGACGAAAAAGCTTACGCTAAAATATTAAATAACTTAAAATAAAATTCCTATGTGTATGAAACATAAACGCGCCACGATAATAAATTTAATCAATTTATTTTAATTTTATATATAATTTTATTGCGCTTTTATAAATGTCGTTTTTCATTATTTAATTCAGTTTAATCAAAGGCCGATTAATACATGATTACAATGATAAAATATTACGAGTAATTTAATCTTGCCTAATCGGTACTTTCTTATTTTATTTATGTAACATTGTAATGTTTGTTGCGTGGATCGAAACTGCAATGTGGTGAGTTCGGCTGAACTATAATTGAATGTCGAAATATTGCAGACACTTAAACACGGAGCACACATTGGACGACCGATCGACAGCGCAAGCTAGGGTCCAGATGCAAGTAGTGTCGCAGCTGGAAATTCAGTTGCAAAAAGAACGAGACCGACTAGGCGCTATGATGCATCATTTGCATATGGCAAAACAAATGGCTTCCCCGGAACCGCCAAAGTCATCCGAGTCATCGGTAAAAAAAAAATTTTCCTTATTGTACTTGCAACTCTTGCCCCTCAACTTGTTTTCTTCATTTTATTTCACTATTTTATTTATTACCATAATAAGGAGAAACATGTATACATGTCCCCTACTACGCTCCTAATATCAGATATCAGGGTATCTGCTAAATTAATATATTATTTAATGGTTTTATCATGAAATTTATTACACTTGGAATGAAATTTGTTGCGAAAGATTTGTAATTGAATTTGGATGTTGAAAACCTGCTGTCTCGTATTAGAAGCCTATCTCATAATGGGGGACTTTCCTGTATAACTACAACACCAATTTCGTCCATAACAATCTAACTTTTTACAAAAACATATTTCATATTTAAATATTGTGGCTTATTATATTAAATTTTGTGGCATTGTATTGCCGTAGTCAAACATTTATAAATATAATATTTATCGCATCAATAAGAATAATTTGTAAACACTATAAGTTCTTACTTATTAGAAAGTGATAAGTCAATTATTAGTTATAATTTTATCTCTCGTGAATTAAAAATTCATAAAATGCATAAGAATATTAATATGACATCGCGGGACTCAAGAGAATTTTTACTGTAAGCCGCAATTATAATGCACTTAGGAGTTCGCTACAGAACGGATACTGAAAGCCAAACCTGGAAAAACGGTCCGACCGCGACGCGTAAACTTTCTCCGCTGCGGTATTGCCTGCGAGATCGTAAAGCCGGATTTTCACGACAGACCAGCTCGTTGGAAGATTTTACGAGCTTCTCGCGGCCCGCCAACAACAACGCGAGTTTCAGTTTTAACGCGCCGCCGAGTCGAGTGCTAATTTATACATAAAGTTCGCATTAATAATTCATCGGAGCCGCGGTAATTTTATATCGCCTTAATTAAAACCCCTAACAAGTTGGGCAGTCGGAGAATACCAATATCGCATTAGCCCTGCGCCAACGACAACGCTCTCGTCGGCCGACGGCTTAATTATTTTAACGCGGCTGTGTGAGTAGTTCCGCTACGGGGATCAGATTGCCCGTGTAGTTTGTACGCCACTGCGATATGTAATAAGATCTCCGCATTGTAAAATGGCATACATTGATATTCATATTGCAGCAAGTGCTTTTAATATACGGACTATATTTATCATGAGACTTACGAGAGGGAAATATTACGTTGTTCCTCATCTGTAAGATAAAACTTGTGTATAATTATTTTAAAAGCCACGACCACGGAATTTCGAATTTTTCCAAGTTGATAAAACATTTGCGAACCAGCTCCGCGACGTACACGAATTACGTAAAGGCCTCTCCTTAAGGCCGAATCAGACCAGCAATTGCCGACTCTCTTTGGCTAGAAGATAATCGCCCATCCCAATCCAATCCGCGTCAACAATTGCTAGTCTGATTCGGCCTTTAGCCCTTTGCAATTCTCTTGTCGCGTTTATACATAATCCTAAAATGACGAGTCTCTACTGGACAATAGAGTTTATACGCGATTCGTGGCTCATATCTTTATCATCGCTCTCCCCCGCCTCGTTTTCCACCCTTTCGCGAATTCTCTCTTCCAGACGGGCTCGAATTTACCAAAGCTAAACTTTTCCACCGCTCTGATGAGTCAGCCGCCGCCCAACTTCGGGGTCTCCCAGGTGTCACCGGTGTCCATGTCCGCGCTAGTGTCCGCCGTGAGGTCGCCCGCGGGTGGTCAGCTACCCCCGTCGGTTGGCAGTGCCCCGATGCCGCCACTTCCGACCATACCCAACATGTCGAGTTTACCGCCCATGCCAAACATGCCTGGCAGCATGCCGAGTATGGCTGGTCCAATTAGACGGCGCATCAGCGATAAGTCAGCTCTTTCGCTGGCAGGAGGTAAGATCATCTCTTCGTCTTGTAATCTTTAATTATCTCGCCTGACAGGTGAGACTTGAGGGTAGCGTCTTCTAGGACTAATAAGGGCCAGTATCGCACATTTCGCGTTACCAAGATCAATTTTGTTTCGAGATTAATTTTGCAACAGCTCTTCCGTTTTACCCATTTCAAGGAAATTGGCTGATCCTGTGTTAATATAATTCGTTGGTACGTCCAAGTATCAATGTACAATGTATAGCATGTTTCGTTAGTCGTTTACATATTAGTGATAAAAATTGCGATCTTTTTCTTTACATAAACCTATTCGAGAATATTAAATTACTAACGATTCGTTTTGTATTCTTAATAAAACAAAGTTTTAGATTCAATTGTGTATATGTATATGCATGTACACAATTGAATGTAAAACTTTGTTGTATTTGCAGTAGAAAGGGGGAAGAAACTAATTGCACATTTGTTAACATTTCTTGCCTTATGGTACACGATTCACGAAACACATGTACATTAGTTGTTTAACACTAAGTTTCGTGATATTAATTCATTCCTAATTAAATGATCTCTTTTTATTGTCACTTTTATTGTACAGTTTTCATATTTTATTTCGGACGTATGTGCCCTGTAAAGTTAATGACCTTGATCAAAATGTTCTCGTTGTAACCATTTTCCGAACGTAACAGCTTTATGCTTGAAATGCATACGAGAGCTTGGAAGTGGATTAATATCGTCTCAGCAAGGTGAAACAAAAGAAACACAATTCAGAAATGAAATACTATTCGTAGGACTGTATGACGAGGGCAATGTAAGGCGCAGAGTAGCCGTCGATAGATCTGGAATAGATATTAACGAAGGTAACGATAACACAAGATCATACTCGGAGTGATGCGCGAGCTTCGAAACGCCATCCGAGAGATTTCGTATTTTATTAATTTCGTAACGCAACTCTTATTAAATTATTAATAAGAGAAACTAGTTCTTTCTTCAAATTACGCCATACGTGATACACGACAGATCTGCGTGACTAGAAAATAAATAACGATATTATCACTGTGGTAGTAAAACGAAAAATCCTAAGTTGCATTATTAAATTGAGAAAAGTACGAAAGATAAAAAGTTGTACGATATCGTTTAATATTTTCCTTAATCTTCTCCATAAACAGTGTAGTTTTATAAAATATCAATATGTATTTTTGTCTAACGTAATAAGATATATTAATTATATGTGTATTTTAAAAGTTATTCTTGGCATTTCGAGGTTCGTCACGAAAACACGTTCACTCCGACGAAATAAGAAAATACCGATCCTGTAGCAAGTGCTCTTTACGGTCCTCTCTTGGTCTCGTGCCTTTTCCTGTCGTAAATTGTAACCACACGCACAGATTACTTATGGTAGCGACTATGTCACGTGAAGCGACAGTGTTCGACACCTTGTTGGCGGCGTAGAACGAGTATAGGTGTGTAGAGAGGGATGCGAGGAAATTTATATGCGATGAGAAAAGAAATGATACGAGATGAATGATAAATTCTTTCATCCGCCAGCTCGAACCTCTTTCTTATCGATGCTTTTGTTGTTTCCTTATTTCTTGTGCTGCCCGCCCTCCCCACCGTGTAGGGCTGCCCTACATGCTGGAGCGTGCTGGCCTTGACGTCCAACAAGGTACTGTCAACCTATTTTCCACATTCCCATTTGTGGCTTACAGATTTTTCTTGCGGAAGGTTGCACCTTGCATGACCGCTCACCTCCCTTCCTCGTCTTCACCCCCGCCTCTTCACGTAGCATCTATTTTCCTAATTTTACTGATAACTCCCGGGACAATTAAGATTACGGAGTTTGCCAAAACCCCGCGCAAATACTTGGGATTAGATAAATTGATTGGTCGCAGTTTCTCATTTTCTGGTTGCTTTTCATTCAAGCGTGAAAGAGGTGATCCATATATTTGGTTTCAACTATTTTTCTTTTTGTTTGCGAATAAATAAGCTTCAGTTTTAATGCAAAAATATAACGTCAATATAGTACACAGTTATTCTTAATAAATACTTGTGAAAAAATTAAATACGAAGAACTTTAATGTTTGGGTTGCCTTCTTCTATTTTTTATGTAATTTTATTTTGCAAAAGCATGCATCAGTAGATATTTCTTCAAATATGAACAATTATCATTATTTTAGAAGAATATCCAACTTTTTGGTTAATATTGGTATACTTTGCGCATAGTTTTAAATTTATTTCATCACAAATTCTTATGTTAAAGTTTAGATGTTCGTTAAAAAAATTTATAATTATTTCCAGAAAAACGTCATTTAATAAAAGTACAAAGTATAAAATTGATGTACATTGCATTGTACGGCGGTTCAAAATGTGTACTCATAGCTTTTCATGAGAAGTCGATTGAAAATTTTAATAAAATATATAAATTTATTTAATGTTTCTGAATATAGGAAAATACCGCGTAACATGCGCACAGCTTCGTTTACTCGGCGTTTAAGAGCATAATTGTATCATAATTCCACGCGGTCGGCACAATGTTTGCTTGTTTGTTGTGATTCCACTGTTCGGATCTTTTTGCACACAAAAAAAATAATTAAACGCGCGTTTAAACACGCGTGATACACCTATTATCAGTAATGAGAATATTAGCTTTCCGACCCGCTACCGTTTTTATAATATAATGTACAGGGTAAATGAAATTTGTTGCGTCCGGTTTCAGAAATTCAGCGAAATAGGGAATTCTACAAGAATGCAGACGTCAGACCACCGTTCACGTATGCATCCTTAATTCGGCAGGTGAGTGGCTAATGCGATTGTCGAAGGATTCTCCGAATATCGTATTTTCTCGTCGCGTCGTATTAACAAAGCCAATTATCCTGGGGACTTTCTTTAACAGCGTAAAATAGGTTGAACGGTTCACGTTATTATTTTAATAATTTCCGGAATATACTGAAAATTAAATTTCAATTTATTTGTTAAAGTTGGCGCGTTCTGTTAAATATTATTCCGATTAAATAATGTTTTAAATCGGAGCTCATTCTAACTTATAATTATCTAGATGCAGTAAAATTTATTTTATTATTTGTTAATTGAATTTATCACGTTTTATTAGAGAATCATAATATTCTCGGATTATTATGTGATACTGCAATCGAAAAATTTACACGACACACGAACCGATATTACATACTCGTAAGGGATCGTTCTCGTTTGTGGACAGTTAAATGCCCTGGCCACGATGTTTCGCCGCTTAGAATAGAACGGGTCAATGTAATTATAATGTTGCTCTTTCCATAGTCCATCATCGAATCTCCCGAGAAGCAGCTGACGCTCAACGAAATTTACAACTGGTTCCAAAACACATTCTGCTACTTCCGGCGCAACGCAGCAACGTGGAAGGTATATCTTACAATTCCAGTAGTATAATCACACAATCGTTTCAAAGGAAGAAAATGAGACCAGAAAACAGTAGCTTTTTTTGACTTGAGATTCGAGATATTTACAATGTGGCGTCCTCGCTACGTGTGTTTTTTTTTCTAATTTTCCACACTTGCAGCCAGTAATTTTTACGAGGCGTCAAGTACTCCAAACTTCTTATGGTAATTTTCTTTCGCCACGAGAAAACCGAAATAATGTCTCAAACGTAATCTTTAAATAGCGGGAGAGTTACAATAAAGTGAAGGTAATTCTCTCTTTAAATGGATCAGGTTCCCACGAATTTGTTTGTGCAACGGGAGTCACAAGGATAAAACAATTTATATTTGTACGAACGGATCGAGCTGAATGCGCTTAACAAGAAAGGTTGACAGCTTATCGAGAATTTCGGATAATTATATGTATTGATTTGGATTAACAGGCTAAGTGACGTGCCGGGCAGAGCAGCTGGTAATGATAGTTGTATTGCTTTCTCGAATAAGGGGGGGGGGAGAACTGGTAACATGTGAAATATGACATATTACGAGTCATTTATGAGCCATCTGTCATTATATTCTTCCCCATTTCCCCTCGTTCGGCAGACCACTCAATGGCATCGCGTGTCAGAATAACCGCAATCCTCTTAAACTAATAGTAAACTAATAGTAAACTAATAGTCTAAATCAATAGTAAATAGAATTCAAACGTCCTTACGGAGCGATTATTGTATTAACGTTATATATTCCTACCCAGGCATATTACGTCGATTATTTTGTCGTTTAAAATGATTGCTGCCAATGGTATCTGAAAGAGAGATCGCGCATTACCTGCAAAGTCGCAATTAAATAATAGTAGGGAGGATGTGTGCTCAATGGAGATCTCGTGGATCGCTTTATTCTGACATACGAGCGTGTGTCGCGACGTATCGTACCTCCAATCCGGAACGAATCGACCGGATAAAATTGCCGATCGAACGTCGCCTGGGCGGGTTAATAAAAATTAACACATCCAACGTCTCCTCGGGCGTCCGAGAATATAAACGTGCCGATGGTTCATGATCGATTTGTAAGCCGACGTGACAAACCGCTTGTTGGCAAGAGTGTTTGCGCGCGTGCGTTTTTGCGTGTGTGCGAGAGTGTGCGTGGAAGTAATTGACGTTTGCCATGACGCTTCGCCTCGCATGGTTATGTGTATATGAAAACATAAAAAAAAAAGAAAAACGCAAACAGGTTTGCCGCTGCGAAGGGGCGGAGAAAGAGCGGAGCAGCCGACGTGGGGGCCACCAACGTGAGCTGGCGATGAGTCGGATGGCGGCAAACACGTCATCGAGCGGCCGCGTCGCGCGGCCTCGTCGAATTTTACATTCGGCCCTGCGGCATGAATAATTGTTGTCGTTGCCCCTAGATTTAGATGACTAGCTGTGCATTAACGATAAAGGAATGCCACAAACCGTGTCTCTTTCGATTAATCATGTTTTGGTTTCGTTTCATCCTCACGCGGCCTTCGGCGTCGCGATTTCATTGCCGGTTTCCCTCTGTGCTAACAGCGATCATCGTCATCGGCATCATCGTCATCGTCATTGTCGCCGTCGTTATTATTGGTGGACGTCGCGTCATTACTGTCACTTGATTATCGGCTGGCTGGACTTTCTATTATTATTTGTCCTTTTTTTTTTCGTACGTCACAACGCGACGCGGGTTTCCGTTCTTCCTCCTCGCCGGCTGCCACCTGGGAGACTTGCTCGAACCCTTTTCCGATAATAAAATTAGTCGTGACTCAACAGTCGCATTTATTGATACGTACAGTTTTTTTGAACGCAGCACACTATTGGCACTTGCGTAGTAATTTGCGCTGCTTTTATTTGACGTTTACTGTTTACGTTAGTTTGCATTATTTTCGTTGCCCGCTTAGCATTTCCAAAAGTCTATTTCACGTACATGTTCGAGAAAACGGCTTTCCGACGGACGCTATCGAAGATATTTGTTAATTCTGCGTTTAATTGGTTGAATCGTTGTCGGGAAATATACTGTCCCGTATGGGAAAAGGGTGGAAACCGTACAACACACAAAGCATTTCAGTTTTCGATGCAAATTTCAGTTTAAGGTGGCAGCTTTGCTTGTATTCTACAAGAGTGCCGAGTGGCCATTGCACGCATCTTTGAATGACACGTTCGAAATGAGATGTTCAAATTAATTTTCATGGTATCGCCAACCTTGTTAAGTTTTGTAACTTAAAATTAATTAATTCTTGTCATCACGAATAAAATATTATAGCCGAACAATTCATTACATTAATAAAGGATAGAAGCTGCAGCTATTATGCACTTTTTCGGGAATATTTTCGTTTGCTATCAGCCTCTAAATAAATAAATTTGTGTAATTTATTTTTTGTACATGTCCATTTTTTAATGTATGAGAGATCTGCACGTCTCGTCCTCAAAGATGGCTGAAATGAGCTCTCAAGAGCAGCGTTGTCGAGCGTAGGTCATCCTAAAATTGATCTAGGTCACAATTATTATCCACAAAGGCTTGAATCGCATTAAAACGAGGAAATACAAGATCTAGGTTATAGATCGAGGCCACAACTATAAGACTGAAACTGCCATTTTGTGCAAAAGTACGTAAAGTCATAAAATATTCGGGAGCTCGATTGTAACTTGTCTGTAACATTGCAGTATATTCGTAACGTGAATGCGCAAACACGCATGCCGCGGAATTAATAACTTTCGCTGAAATAAAATTACAACCCTTTAATTATTATTGCTTGTTTTATTTTTACCAATATATTAGCTAAATGGATTTTACTATCACGGTGAAAACATCGAAAACACGTTATTTAACAGATAACTTGTTGAGAGATACATTTTGTTTAATTACATCCCGTTCTGTTAGTATCGTAATAAATTCCAATTTCATTAGAGACGATCAGTTGCCGTTGACGTTGGAGATAAATCGAGAACTTTGCCGCACGAAAGAGCTGTAGGGAAACTCGAAATACTCGCATTACATTAACTCGAGATATTGATATACGACGGTCGCGGTAAACATCGGGAGATGTGTTTAATCAAAGTCCTGCGCCGCAAAGAGTGTTCCGCGCTTCAACGAGATCGTTCGCGACGCTGCTCGTTGGCACCTTGGCACCTCGACAAATCATACGGCACACGCACAATATCGCACGTCTCACTTAGCAACCTCGCGCCTCGGTCTCACGATCATCATCCATTCTTGCCTCATCAGCGTGATCGCTCATCATCACCCGATGTCGAGGACTCTCCACCGCCTGCGTAACGCACACATACACATGGACACATACCCACCCACCCGCCCACACACACACATTCGCGTGCCACGAACGACCGTGATCCTTTCCCCCTTCGCCGACTACCGGGACCGTGATTGAGTTGGCTTCGTTCGTTTTTTGCGTTGCTTATTTAGTCTGTGTATTATTTTGTATAGAACGCAGTGCGACACAACCTGTCTCTCCACAAATGTTTCATGCGAGTCGAAAACGTGAAAGGGGCCGTATGGACGGTGGACGAAGTGGAGTTTTACAAGAGACGCCCACAGCGCGCTTGCAGCACGACCGGGTACGTTGCCCCTCCCCCCATGTCCCCGTCGATCAGAAAAATAATTACAACCGCGCTTTTTACTCTCTTTATTCTCTCTCTCTCTCACTTTCTCTTTCTCTTTCTATACAATATCTCTCTCTATTTCTCTCTCTCTCTCTCTCTCTCTCTCTCTCTCTCTCTCTCTCTCTCTCTCTCTCTCTCTCTCTCTCTCTCTCTCTCTCGCTCTC